AATTATTTTTTGGCCTTCCTAATTCTATTTTTACACTTTATGTTCTGTTTCCCAAAAAATGGTGAGATGCCAGAGTTTTGTTCCTATGTAGGATAGGCAATTAGCAGATGTTAAAGATCATTACTTATGAACCTTTTAACAGACTCCAAAAAACAACTGCAATCCAAGTGCCTGGGTAGTCTCTTAGAGATTACTACCCAAATATAGTCAGCTGGTGGAATTCAACCAGTAATTGCCAGACAACACAAAATAGACATAGGTGCTTGAAGAGTAGAGTTGTCCCTCTTACTGCACCCCAAAATGACTGAAAACAAACTTTATTTTGCTGTTCGTCAAAGTCAAAAAGGGGCTTTTTTTAAAAAAAAATAGCCTAAAAAATGTTAGGCCCAGATTCACAAAGGTACTTCAGTATTTAGGTACCTAAATATCTTTATGAATCTGGGCTTTAGTGCCTATAACAAATAATTCAATATAAAGTGGCAGTGAGAATTTATAATCCTAAAACTCAATCCAGCCATCAGATTGGTGTGGGCAGACCCCATTTGACTTCAGCGGGCTCCCTGCAGGTGTAAGGGTTTGCCCACATGGATCCAGTTGCAGAATTGAGACCAAGATCATATTTTAGATTTTTATTTTTTTTTTTTAAAAAAAAGAGTATCTAGTTGGCAATGGCATTAAACTGATGTGGGTTACATTTTTTAGGCCTTAGATGAAAACAGCATGCAGTACTCTCTAGTCGGAAGTGACGACATGCAATATCATCTTGTTTTATTCCTGAATATTAACCTTTACTTGTACATTACTCAAGTTTGAACAAAAATGGCGTCCTTCTCCTCTTCAATTTTCTAGTACAAAAAGCTGATAAAAACTGGAATAAAATACTGAGAAATATCCGTACTGTGGTGAAATTAATCAATAAAAATAAAGTTTATTCTGTGACAGAATGGGGTATATCAGCTCGTGTTGTAGTGTAAACGCCATGTATGTGCTGAGCACGTCTAACCTTGCTCAAGACAATTATTGTAATGTATTCCAGACACATGCCCTTCCCAGGAAAGATGCTTGCTGTCCTGATGAAGGACCCCATAACTGAGCAGCCATCAACTCGGTTTCTCAACTGGAGGCCCAATTCCATGGAACAATGGCATTTCTATACAGGGGAGCCAGCCTGGTTAGTTGAACTGCAATTTCTCAGTTTAGGCACTTGGCAAAAGAAGACAGACTGCATTGTCAAGGGGGAGGATGCAGAGGGGTAGATGTAAGCAAGACTGGCTGGAGAGAGATTAGACAGGAGGGATTCTGCCTAGTCTGAAATGCTGAGAAGCCATGGACTCAAGGAGGGGTGAGGTCAGACAACGGGAAGCTGCGTCTCCGGAATTTTTTTTTTCAAATAATTAGCACTTTTAAAGAGTAAACTGTTAATAAATTCCCTAGCTAAGCCTGTGTTCCTTGCTTTCCTGCACTGTTTTCCACAAAAGGGTTAACTATAAGCCCAGTGTGATTGCACCTGAGGTGGGACTCTTAGGGAGCATTTGTAAGCAAGGTGGCTCAGAAGGTTTGAGGGACTATTTTTCAGGGAGCAGGGCTTCTAGACGGCAGTCCTATGCCACAATGAAGAGTTCAGACAGAATTCTGCCCAGACCCCACTGGTTTGGAGGCCTGTGGATCCTGCAGTTAGGTCCATTTGCAATAGACTGCTGATACAGAGAGGTACTGGGAATATAGTTAATGGGAGAAGAATAAGGATAATGGAAAGTTAAGTAGCAATATGTTGGGTAAGACAGGCCTGGAAGTGGACAAGATGTTTTTATTAGATTGGACTCCATTATCCTGATAGCAGCACTTCTGGTCCTTAACCAGTAAACCAATGGCACAAGTAACATGAATGCTGGCTGAGTGGGAGAATCCTAGGCTGTAATAACCTCTCTAGTAAGCCATTAAAAGAACCTGGAAATGTAACTCATTAAACAGAGTACCAAGGAAGGTAATTGTCCAGTTTGAGCAATTGCTAATGGATCACCCACTCACAGGAAACATTACAGATGGGGTGAGAAAGCAAAGTAACGCTAGCTCAGACCACAAAAATGCCAGGGTAGGGTGAAAATTTTTAGCATAATATGGAACTGCAGAATGAAAACTTCTTCAGAGTGTCCCTGTAGGTGCTTCACTTCTGGTGAATGTGTGCCCATGTGTTTGATCAGAGAATTTCAGCATCAGTGCTTGCCTGGGTCACGCATGCGCTGTCCCCATCGCACATCATTGTCTGCATCTATCTACCATGCCTGACCAGATGCCACTCAGTTCCTTCTCAACTGTTCTCGCCCTGAGAAGGTACTTCCAGCAGTGCGAAAAATAAATAGCTTTCTTCAGTGCTTAAAATAGTTTTTAGAGTGGTTTTAGAATACTAGTTAGATTTACTTACACTTTTTCAGTTTATTTTTTTTGTTGAAAAGAAATTAATACATATTTTCCTATCCCTCAGAATAGTTCGTGTTCACCCTTGGGCTGAACCGCCATAATTTGATCCATGCCCAGTTCACCGGGCTTCAAGTGGTGCCCTTCCTCGTAGGAGGCAATCTTGGTATTGGATGGACACTCGCAATACATCCGATGCTTAGGTAAGACACACATCCCACAAAAGTGTTCTCACTGCAGCAAGTTGATTTAAAGGCTCACGCCAGAAAGGACAGAGACTTGCATTTCAAACTTACACTTATGGAGAAGTATAGCATCGAATCCCGGCCAACAGACCGCCTCTGGACAACAATCTCCAGAGACTTTACCCTCTTCACAGAGGAAGGCTCACTTCACCAAAAAGGTAGCGAGGAAAAAAGCATCAACTTCCCCCCCGAAAAGGCTCATTCTGTATCCTCAGTACTGACCACACCACAGCTGAATACATATGAGGCACCAGGAGCCGCTGGTACCACGCGTATTGTGAAAGCCAGTGACCACAAGCAGGCAGGCTTGGAGTCAAGAGGCAAACGGAAGCCCACCTCCTTTGCTACGACATTGAGGGACCCGCCCAAAGATGCAGCACCAAGGTGCTCCCCACAGGCTCCCCACCATCTGCTCCAGTAGCACAGAGCAATCAGATGTCCACACCGATGCTTGTAACTGCAACGGCGTCATCAGCTCTGACCATTTCGGCGCTAAAACCACTGGATCTCTTGAGATAAACTTATGTGTAGTGCTGGGGAGGAGCTGGTGGTTGTGGTACATATAGGTACCAGTGACATAGGAAAAGTCCTGGAGGCCAAATTTAGGCTGCTGGTGAGAGATTGAAGTCCAGGACCTCCATGGTAGCATTCTCTGAAATGCTTCCAGTTCCACATGCAGGGCCAGCTAGGTAGGCAGAACTGTAGGGGGTCTCAATGCGTGGATGAGACAATGGTGTAGGAAGGAGAGGTTTAGATTTATTAGGAACTGGGGAACCTTTTGGGAGAGGGGGAGCCCATACAGGAAGGATGGGCTCTGCCTAAGCCAAAATGGAACGAGATGGCTGGTGTGTAAAATTAAAAAAACAGCTCTGACCTTTAAATTAAGGGCTGGGGGAAAGCCGACAGGTGCGGAGGAGCACGTGATTTAGACAGAGACATCCCCGAGGGGAGGATCTATTAATGGAGATTCTCTGTTCTAGTAAGGAGGAAAGGATGGAAAATAAAATACAGGTAGGATCTGATGAGACAGTCAAATGAAAGAATCCCATTTAATTACATCAGGTAATGGCAGCTTAAAAAAGACACATATAAATGCTAGAAGTCTAAATAATAAGATGAGTGAACTAGAGTGCCTCATATTAAATGAGGATATTGATGGAATGAGGACAATCAATAGGACACAGTAATACCAGGGCACAAAATATATCCGAAGGACAGTACAGGTAATGCTGGTGGAGGAGTGGCACAATATGTGAAAGAAAGCATAGAATCAAATGAAGTAAAAAATCTTAAATGAACCAAACTGTACCATAGAATCTCTATGGATAGTAATTCCATGTTTGAATAATAAAATATTAGTAGGGATATACTACTGACCACCTGACCAGGATGGTGATAGTGACTGTGAAATGCTCAAGGCATATCAGAGAGGCTATAAAATAAACTCAATAATGGGGATTTCAACTATCCCTATATTGACTGAGTACGTCACCTCAGGATGGGATGCACAAATAAAGTTTCTTGACACCTTAAATGACTGCCTCTTGGAGCAGCTAGTCCTGGAAGCCACAAAAGGAAAGGCAATTCTTGATTTAGTCTTAAGTGGAGCACAGGATCTGGTTCAACAGGTAAATATAGCTGAGCTACTTGGTAATAGTGACCATAATACAATTAAATTTAACATCCCTGTGGTGGGAAAAACACCATAGTAGCATTTTATTTCAGAAAGCAGCACTACACAAAAATGAGGAAGTTAGCTAAACAGAAATTAAAAAGATACAGTGCCAAAAATGAAATCCCTGCAAGCTTCATGGAAACTTGTAAAAGATGACATAACAGAGGCTCAACTTAAACGTATACCCACAAATTAAAAAACACAGAAAACCAAAAAAACCCACTGTAGCTAAACAACAAAGTAAAAAGCAGTGGAAAGGCAAAAAGGCATCCTTTAAAAAGTGGAAGTTAAATTGTACTGAAAAAAAATATAAAGGAGCTCTTGGCCATGACTGCCTTTTTTCATTTGCACCTCACTACACTATCCACTAGCTCACCCTTGTCCATATGCTTATTGACATCCTCCAAGAATTCTAGTAGATTGGCGAGGAATGATTTCCTTTTACAAAAACCACTGACTCTTTTCCTCAACAAATTGTATTCATCTATGTGTCTGACAATTCTGTTCTTTACTATGGTTTCAACCAGTTTGCCTGGTACAGAAGACAGATTTAGCAGCCTGTAATTGCCAGGCTCACGGTTAGAGCCCTTTTTAAAAATTGGCATCACCTTAGCTATCCTCCAGTCATCTGGTACAGAAACTGATTTAAATGATAAGTTACATACCACAGTTAGTAGTCCTGCAATTTCACATTTGAGTTCCTTCAGAACTCTTGGACGAATACCATCTCGTCCTGGTGACTTATTGCTGTTTAATTTTATCAATTTGTTCCAAAACCTCCTCTAATGCCACCTCAATCTTAGACAGTTCTTCAGAGTTGTCACCTACAAAGAATGGCTCAACTTGGGAAATCTTCCCTCACAGCCTTAGCTGTGCAGACAGGTGCAAAGACTGTAGATAGTTTCTCCCCACTGGCCTTATCACCTCCCTTGAGTACTCTGTTAGCACCTTGACCGGCCAGCTGCCCCACTGGCTGCTTCGCCCGCTTTTCTGCTCCTTGGGCACAGAGCTGAGAAACCGGGCCACCTGGCGGCTGGTCGGGGCCTCGGGAGCGGAGCTGCGCACCGCGCGCCAGGGAACGCGGCGGTCCAGCCTCGTGCGCGGGGCTCGGGGGCGCCCCGGAGCAACCGCGATCGGCTCCGCCCTGCGCCGGCCACGCCCTGCAGCACCGCCGCGTTCCTTCCGCCGGAAGCGCCGCCCGCCGCGTGTCGCACCCAATGGGGTCCGGAGGATTTTGCCTCGGAGACCAGGTGGCGCTGATACTACCCTGATCCGGCCCCCGGGGCGGGGGAGCCGCCCTGGCGGGACCCGGCCTCCGCGGGGGCGGCAGGTGGAGGAGAAACCCCGAAGCTCGGGACAGAAGCAGGGCTAGAGTCGGAGCCGCTGCCGGAGCGAGGTGAGGAGGCGCCCGCGACCCGCGGCTGGGGCGGCTGGGGGGGCCGCCGTTGGGTCTCTCCAGGGGGAGCCGGTGCTGCAGCCCGATGCGGGGGGGCTCATCCCCCGCTTCGCCAGGCTGTGCGGCTGCTGCCTCCCCGGGCAGCGGCCCCCCGGCTGCCGTGTCCCGGCCTCCTCCACCCTCAGCCGGCTGCAGCCAGCCTGGGAACGGCCGCGGCTTGGAGGGAGCCCAGCCAACCAGGGCCCGGGGCACACGTTCCCTCCGGGTTGGGGAGAGAGACAGGTGGAGGGTCATCGTCGGCTTCTCCCCACTCAGGCACTATTGACCTCGACCCTCCTCCTCCGCACACAACGGAGCGGTGAGGTGGGATTTCCCCCTTCCCTCCTTTCTTCAGTGTATGTGTGAAGAAGCCCAACCTGTGTCATGTTCCCTGGTGCTGCGAGGCCGGGCCTGTGGCCCGTACCAAAATCAACGGTAACCCCCCTAACCAATTAAATGACCCCAGCACAACCTATGTAAGCCTTAAAATCTGGACATAATGCAATATTGAAACACAACTGAGTCATCAAAAATACTTCTGTTCGCAAACATAACAGATCATTACACATCACAGGAAAGCCAGATATGGTGTCCTATAAATAGGGTATTTGCTAGGAGAACTGCACAAGACCCCTTGTAGAATATTGTTGAGTCAAATTATTTAAAAAGAAAAGGAGTACTTGTGGCACCTTAGAGACGAACACATTTATTTGAGAATAAGCTTTCATGAGCTACGGCTGACTTCATCGGATGCATCTGATGAAGTGAGCTGTAGCTCACGAAAGCTTATGCTCAAGTAAATTTGTTAGTCTCTAAGGTGCCACAAGTCCTCCTTTTCTTTTTGTGAATACAGACTAACACAGCTGCTACTCTGAAACCTGAAATTATTTAAAGTGTCATTGACTTAAATTCTACAGATCTTAAGGTCATTTCTCTAGATCTGTTTGATTATAGAGTAGTAATCTTTGCAGGTAATTACATTAGACTTATAGCTTCTTAGTATGTTGGCAGAAAGAATAACTTTTTTGATATTTTTCCATACCCCCCTGTGATGCATCTGGCTGCATATAGTAATTTCTTACTTTAAATAATATGGCTCTAGTACCACTGAAACAATTTTCTTCAAACGTGTCTTATTTCTTATAGCTCAAAGTTTACAAAACAACCAAGTTTGAACACAATTGTTTTAGCAATTTAATATATTTGGGGTGTTTGCATACACAGATTTTTTTTTATCAGAATGTAAAGGGAAAAGAGTCCCTTTTTTCTGGATCCCTCTTTTTGGCCAGTGTCACACTGGGAACTCATGTTCAACTGATTATCCTCCAAAAAGAAAAGGAGTACTTGTGGCACCTTAGTGACTAACCAATTTATTTGAGCATAAGCTTTCATGAGCTACAGCTCACTTCATCGGATGCATACTGTGGAAAGTGTAGAAGATCTTTTTATACACACAAAGAATGAAAAAATACCTCACCCCACCCCACTCTCCTGCTGGTAATAGCTTATCTAAAAAGACCACTCTCCTTACAATGTGTATGATAATCAAGGTGGGCCATTTCCAGCACAAATCCAGGGTTTAACAAGAATGTCTGGGGGGGTAGGAAAAAACAAGGGGAAATAGGTTACCTTGCATAATGACTTAGCCACTCCCAGTCTCTATTCAAGCTTAAGTTAATTGTATCCAATTTGCAAATGAATTGCAATTCAACAGAACGCCACTAGCCGTCACCTTCAGCCACTAACTAAAACCCCTCCAACGCATTATTAAGGATCTACAACCTATCCTGAAGGATGACCCAACACTCTCACAAATCTTGGGAGACAGGCCAGTCCTTGCCTACAGACAGCCCCCCAACCTGAAGCAAATACTCACCAGCAACCACATACCACACAACAGAACCACTAACCCAGGAACCTATCCTTGCAACAAAGCCCGTTGCCAACTGTGCCCACATATCTATTCAGGGAACACCATCACAGGGCCTAATAACATCAGCCACACTATCAGAGGCTCGTTCACCTGCACATCCACCAATGTGATATATGCCATCATGTGCCAGCAATGCCCCTCTGCCATATACATTGGTCAGACAGGACAGTCTCTACGTAAAAGAATAAATGGACACAAATCAGATGTCAAGAATTATAACATTCATAAACCAGTTGGAGAACACTTCAATCTCTCTGGTCACACGATTACAGACGTGAAAGTTGAGATATTACAACAAAAAAACTTCAAATCCAGACTCCAGCGAGAAACTGTTGAATTGGAATTCATTTGGAAATTGGATACAATTAACTTAAGCTTGAATAGAGACTGGGAGTGGCTAAGTCATTATGCAAGGTAACCTATTTCCCCTTTTTTTTCCCCCCCCCCCCCCCCCCCCCCGACTTCTTGTTAAACCCTGGATTTGTGCTGGAAATGGCCCACCTTGATTATCATACACATTGTAAGGAGACAGGTTTCAGAGTAACAGCCGAGTTAGTCTGTATTCGCAAAAAGAAAAGGAGTACTTGTGGCACCTTAGAGACTAACCAATTTATTTGAGCATGAGCTTTCGTGAGCTACAGCTCACTTCATCGGATGCATACCGTGGAAACTGCAGCAGACTTTATATATACACAGAGAATATGAAATAATACCTCCTCCCACCCCACTGTCCTGCTGGTAATAGCTTATCTAAAGTGATCATCAGGTGGGACATTTCCAGCACAAATCCAGGTTTTCTCACCCTCCACCCCCGCACACAAATTCTGCTGGTGCTAGCCCATCCAAAGTGACAACTCTTTACACAATGTGCATGATAATGAAACTGGGCCATTTCCTGCACAAATCCAGGCTCTCTCACATCCCCCCCACCCCCATACACACACAAACTCACACTCCTGCTGGTAATAGCTCATTCAAACTGACCACTCTCCAAGTTTAAATCCAAGTTAAACCAGAACATCGGGGGGGGGGGGGGTAGGAAAAAACAAGAGGAAACAGGCTACCTTGCATAATGACTTAGCCACTCCCAGTCTCTATTTAAGCCTAAATTAATAGTATCCAATTTGCAAATGAATTCCAATTCAGCAGTTTCTCGCTGGAGTCTGGATTTGAAGTTTTTTTGTTTTAAGATAGCGACCTTCATGTCTGTGATTGCGTGACCAGAGAGATTGAAGTGTTCTCCGACTGGTTTATGAATGTTAGAATTCTTGACATCTGATTTGTGTCCATTTATTCTTTTACGTAGAGACTGTCCAGTTTGACCAATGTACATGGCAGAGGGGCATTGCTGGCACATGATGGCATATATCACATTGGTGGATGTGCAGGTGAACGAGCCTCTGATAGTGTGGCTGATGTTATTAGGCCCTGTGATGGTGTCCCCTGAATAGATATGTGGGCACAATTGGCAACGGGCTTTGTTGCAAGGATAAGTTCCTGGGTTAGTGGTTCTGTTGTGTGGTATGTGGTTGTTGGTGAGTATTTGCTTCAGGTTGGGGGGCTGTCTGTAGGCAAGGACTGGCCTGTCTCCCAAGATTTGTGAGAGTGTTGGGTCATCCTTTAGGATAAGTTGTAGATCCTTAATAATGCGTTGGAGGGGTTTTAGTTGGGGGCTGAAGGTGACCGCTAGTGGCGTTCTGTTATTTTCTTTGTTAGGCCTGTCCTGTAGTAGGTAACTTCTGGGAACTCTTCTGGCTCTATCAATCTGTTTCTTTACTTCTGCAGGTGGGTATTGTAGTTGTAAGAAAGCTTGACAGAGATCTTGTAGGTGTTTGTCTCTGTCTGAGGGGTTGGAGCAAATGCGGTTGTATCGCAGAGCTTGGCTGTAGACGATGGATCGTGTGGTGTGGTCAGGGTGAAAGCTGGAGGCATGCAGGTAGGAATAGCGGTCAGTAGGTTTCCGGTATAGGGTGGTGTTTATGTGGCCATTGTTTATTAGCACTGTAGTGTCCAGGAAGTGGATCTCTTGTGTGGACTGGACCAGGCTGAGGTTGGTGGTGGGATGGAAATAGTTGAAATCATGGTGGAATTCCTCAAGGGCTTCTTTTCCATGGGTCCAGATGATGAAGATGTCATCAATATAGCGCAAGTAGAGTAGGGGCTTTCAATCACTGCTTCCCAGTGTGGAGTCCCCCAGTCTGCAAGTATGGCTTGCACTCTTTGTTCTTGGATGTTTACATTAACATATAGGGGACGAGAGCTGAGGAAGCGTTGTTCTAAATCAGCCATAAAAATGTTGGCATACTGTGGGGCCATGCGGGTACCCATAGCAGTGCCGCTGATCTGAAGGTATACATTGTCCCCAAATGTGAAATAGTTATGGGTAAGGACAAAGTCACGAAGTTCAGCCACCAGGTTAGCCGTGACATTATCGGGGATAGTGTTCTTGACGGCTTGTAGTCCATCTTTGTGTGGAATGTTGGTGTAGAGGGCTTCTACATCCATAGTGGCCAGGATGGTGTTATCAGGAAGATCACCAATGGATTGAAGTTTCCTCAGGAAGTCAGTGGTGTCTCGAAGGTAGCTGGGAGCGCTGGTAGCGTAGGGCCTGAGGAGGGAGTCTACATAGCCAGACAATCCTGCTGTCAGGGTGCCAATGCCTGAGATGATGGGGCGCCCAGGATTTCCAGGTTTATGGATCTTGGGTAGTAGATAGAATATCCCAGGTCGGGGTTTCAGGGGTGTGTCTGTGCAGATTTCATCTTGTGCTTTTTCAGGAAGTTTCTTGAGCAAATGCTGTAGTTGCTTTTGGTAACTCTCAGTGGGATCATAGGGTAATGGCTTATAGAAATTCGTGTTGGAGAGCTGCCGAGCAGCCTCTTGTTCATATTCCGACCTATTCATGATGACAACAGCACCTCCTTTGTCAGCCTTTTTGATTATGATGTCAGAGTTGTCTCTGAGGCTGCGGATGGCATTGCGTTCCGCATGGCTGAGGTTATGGGGCAAGTGATGCTGCTTTTCCACAATTTCAGCCCGTGCACGTCGGCGGAAGCACTCTATGTAGAAGTCCAGTCTGCTGTGTCGACCTTCAGGAGGAGTCCACCTAGAATCCCTCTTTCTGTGGTGTTGGTAGGGAGACCTCTGTGGATTAGTATGCTGAATTGGAATTCATTTGCAAATTGGATACTATTAATTTAGTATCCAGGGTGAGAAAACCTGGATTTGTGCTGGAAATGGCCCACCTGATGATCACTTTAGATAAGCTATTACCAGCAGGACAGTGGGGTGGGAGGAGGTATTATTTCATATTCTCTGTGTATATATAAAGTCTGCTGCAGTTTCCACGGTATGCATCCGATGAAGTGAGCTGTAGCTCACGAAAGCTCATGCTCAAATAAATTGGTTAGTCTCTAAGGTGCCACAAGTACTCCTTTTCTTATTGTAAGGAGAGTGGTCACTTTAGATAAGCTATTACCAGCAGGAGAGTGGGGTGGGGTGAGGTATTTTTTCATTCTTTGTGTGTATAAAAAGATCTTCTACACTTTCCACAGTATGCATCCGATGAAGTGAGCTGTAACTCACGAAAGCTTATGCTCAAATAAATTGGTTAGTCTAAGGTGCCACAAGTACTCCTTTTCTTTTTGTGAATACAGACTAACAGGGCTGTTAGTCTGAAACCTGATTATCCACCATGACTCCCAAATCTTTTTCAATCACTGCTTCCCAGTGTGGAGTCCCCCAGTCTGCAAGTATGGCTTGCACTCTTTGTTCTTGGATGTTTACATTAACATATAGCCATATTGAAATGCACATTGTTTGCTTGTGCCAAGTTTATCAGGCAATCTGGATTGCTCTGAATCAGGTGACTTATCCTCTTCATTATTTACCATTCCCTCAGTTTTGTGTCATCTGCAAACTTTTATCAGCATCAATGATGATTTAATGTTTTCTTCCATGTCATTGATAAAAATGTAAAAAATAGCATAGGACCGAGAACAGATCCCGGCAGGATGCCACTGGAAACACACCTGCTTGATGATTCCTCATTTACAGTTGCAATTTGAGACCAGTTAGCCAGATTTTAATCCATTTAATATGTGCCGTGTTAGTTTTAGATCATTCTAGTGTATTAATCAAAATGTTGTGCAGTATCAAGTGAAATGCTGTACAGAAGTTTAAATATTATGTCACTTATGTCTAATCAACCACATTTGTAATCTCATCAAAAAAAATATCAAATTAGTTTGACATGGATTCCATAAACCCATGTTGATTTGCATTATTACATCACCCTCCTTTAATTTTTTGATAATTGGGTCCCATATCAGCCACTCCATTATCTTGCCTGGGATACATGTCAGGCTGACAGGCCTAATTTTTTTTTTTTTTTCCCCCACCTTGCCTCAGCCTATGGGCTACTGCCAGTCACCATCTAGCCCCCTTTCACTGTGGCTGACTGCAGTCTGTACAAGCCAGTCGTCGTAGGCAAGGGAGGTTTTGACCTGCTGCCTTCCCCTGCAACCCAGTACCTCCAGGGGCCTTGTACAAGGCCCTGCAGCCTGGGGAATTGCTGGCCCGGCGCTCCGGAGCTCCTCTGGCCTTTCCCCAGCCCCCCTTTACTCCAGTACCCCGGTCATCCTGTTTACCCTTTTTACCCAGTGCTCCAAGTATTATTGAAAATTTTGTAATACTCCTGGATGCAAGTTATCTGGACTGTCCGATTTAAAAATGTATAATTTTGGTAGTTTGTGTTGAACATCCTCCAGAAATACTAGTGCAGGGAAAGAGTATTATCATCCGCATATGATGAGACTATATGTACTGTTTTTTCTCCATATACAGAATGGAAATAGGTTTCAGAGTAACAGCCGTGTTAGTCTGTATTTGCAAAAAGAAAAGGAGTACTTGTGGCACCTTAGTCTCTAAGGTGCCACAAGTACTCCTTTTCTTGTTGAGAATGGAAATATTTATTAAACACTTCTGTCTTTTCTACATTATTTTTGCTAATTCTACCATTTCCTTCTAGTAATGGACCAATACCATTGTCAGGATTCTTTCTAGTCCTAATATATTTTAAAAACTCCTTCTTGTCCTTAACTCTGGTAGCCATAGATTTTTCCTTGTGCTGGGATGGCACTAATTGCACTGATGGATTTTGCCCATGGCCACGCTAATTTTGCTTGAAATATCAGATGCAGCTGATGACATCGTAGACAGCAAAATGCTGCTCTTTGCAGGTGTGGCTCTGAATATGTTAAGCTGTTTTAGCTAACTTCTCAGATTGATTCTGGAGATTTGTGAGGAGCATCTGCTGCTTCTCCTCTCCAAAGAGGAAATCTTAATCCTAACCTTAATCTTGTCACCAGTCTTATTCAACATCAATTAAAGTAATTTAGAAAGATTGTAAAAAGACAATGTGCAACACCATTATTGTGCAGATGACCCGCAGCTATGTGTATCTTTCTCCTCCAATGCAGACAATGAGCTCTTCAAACTATTCCACTATATGAAGGAAATTGGAATCTGAATGAAAAACATGTGTCTGAGGTTAAATGTGGGAAATATGCAGATGATTCTAGTTAGAAGTGGAAAGCACTTCAAGGACATAATAGCTCTGTCGAGGAAACTTGCCCACAAATAATCAAGGTGCATCATCTCAAGGTCAGTTTGGACTCATTGTTGCAACCTGGTCAGAGGTAGCTGGCACTGTGCAACCTTTGAGTTTGCTATGGCTGGTGACCACAGGATGAAGTTTTTAGGATGGGATGTAGAGCATTCTCAGTGGAATGCTCTGGGCTTTGGAACTCTGACACTCATGGTCAAGACAGATCCTAGACTTGTTAGAGTGAAAAACAAGACTGTCGTTAATCAGGCTCTCTCAAAAAAATGAAGTTGCAGAAGGGCCTGAGAATATGCTCCTGGATAACAGAAAACAACCCTGCTGGGTTTGGAGTTGGGTTTCTGCAGGGAGAAGTCTATGCCAGAGACCCAGTAGCCCCATGTACTAGTGATGAAGGGAGTGGGGCTTAGGCACCAGGAGGGAAGGTAACAGTAAGGCATTTGGGTTCTGATATGAACAGAATTGGCAGCAATCCATAGTTTTGTAAGTAGCACCTAGCAAATTTGTGGTTGCAGCAGAAATATTACATATTATGTGTGACAAGGTAGCCAGATTTTGCAAGGGTCATACATGCAGACAAGTCTTTCAGCTCAACCCATAAGAAATTGGGTTTGAAAATGCTGAGTAACTGAAAGAGAGGTGTTGTAATGGAAGTTAGACCTCAACTCTTAAATAGACTTTGAATGGCTGTAGCCACAGATAGGCTTTGACAGGACTTCCAGACCACTACAAGCCAGAGATGGATATGAAAGATGAGTTTGGGAGGGAGCATCAATGAAGTCCAGGGGTAAAACTCTGGTGTGCAGCTTGACCATCTTGTGGTAGGGACTGTCTGTGGACACTGCTGTGGTTCATAAACTTAATCTCAAACTAGATGCAGGCTGACAGATATGTGATGGATACTGAAACCCTGCTTTGGCTGTTGGAAAGGAAAAGGAACTCTCTCTCCTCCTCTACCAGGGCCTCTGATCCCTTCAGTAAGGAGGTCTACAGCTACAAGCACAATTCCAGTGCTTCGGTGCATGATAGCCTAAACCTCAGCTTGTTTAGCTGCACCATCTCTTTAGAATTCTGCTTTCTTAGTGGCTTGTGGTTGGTGACATGTTCTCTGAAATAACCGTGATTTTAACTGTTTGGGGCCTTGCTAAATTAGGATTACAATTTTGAATTCAATCTAAAAGCAAACATGGAGTTAATGGAGTATGCAGACCACTGGGGTGATGTGTTCACAATTTGTTGCATAAGAGGCCACATGTGTTCACATACTCAGGAACTCCATGAAGAGTGGGTTGCAGTAGTCTCACTTCAAGGTGACAGGCCTGGATCACAGTGGTAAGGTCCTTTGCAGAAGAAACAACACATGGTAGAAAGCTGTCCTTTGCCACTGTTGTTCTACCTCTTCCCTGTAGCACAGCAGTTTTCAAACTTTTTTTGAAAAAAAAAGCTGAGCCCCCCCTTTGAGTTACAATTTTTGGTTGTGCCCCCAGCCCAGACAAAAATAGACACTTGCAAAAGTATGCTTGATAGCCTACTCATAAACCTAACGAGACCTTAATATAACTTTAATTAAATTACCTACAACTGTAAGTGTCAAATACACAGACCTTTAATGGAACAGCCCAGATTTCCTCAGCTGCAGATTGCTTCTACCTTGCAGCCAGGCTGCACCGCTAGGACAGGGCCAGTACCTTCCCCTTCGGGTTTTCAGAGTGGGGGAAAGCATGTGCGATTAGTCTCTGGGTCCGGAGGCTGCCGGAAGTGGAAAAAGGTGTGGCCACAGTGGGTGTTGACACTGATTCTCAGGCTGGGTGGCCTGCTGAAATGAGTCAGGGGTGGAGGTGGTGCTCCCTTCCCACCTCTCCACCCCCCACCCCCATGAGGGCTGGCCCATATCCCGCAGCACTGGCATGAGCCGCCTGGTGTCGCCACTCCCCTCCTTCTGAATGTTCCTCCATGCTCCCCAGGAGGGCATGCCTCACAGTTTGAAAACTCTGCTCTAGCTTCTAGATACAGAAATGGGGAGTTGCTGCTACTTCA